CCCCAGTTCTGTATGCACAAATAAATAAATCTTTAAAAAAAAAAAAAATAACAATAGTTTATTTTTACATCATTTTGTGCCTTTTTCCATCTCAGTTGTAATCTCCGTGGGCTTCCCATCACCAAATCACTCATCTGATGCTGTTTTGTGGGTAGACAAACTCTTGGAGGTGCGGGTTGGAATCCTCACCAGTGGAGGAGAAGGAGGGCAAGGTGGACAGCGGGACTTGTGAGCTCAGACCCCGCAGGCCCCGGCAGGTGACCGATTCTGATCGCAGCTCATACCCGGCAACCGCTTTCCCTGTGCCAGGCTCTGCTCTGACACTTTACCTGTGTGGGACAGCGTCATTCTGCTTTTGTCCCCACTCCGGCTGCGCCCCTCCTTCAAGTCTTGCTGCCCTGTTGCAGCTGTGAGCGTGGGCTCCAGGATCTGTGTTCTTACCTCCTGTGGGCGATGGCAGGCGGGCCGGGGGCCAAGGCTGTGGCCACACCCTGCCGTCCTCACGGCGAAGACATGGTCTGATGAAGTGTCTTAGGGTGTGCTCTCACCTGGCGATTTGCCCAGGACATGGTGGCCCCCAGTGACCATTTCCCTTCAGTGTCACTTGGCCTCTGTGGGTCCTGTACTGGGCGAGGCTTGGCCAGGTGGTACTGGCTTGAGTTTCATCCCGAGCTGCTGTCACCTACCACACAGGCCTTTGCGAGTCCTCTCCCTGTTGAACCTGCCAGAACGAATGAGGCGGGAGCAGCAGTGTCTTGCCACCCCTGGGGTCCCATGGGTTGCTGCCCTCACTTCCTGGCACCCATCAGCTCTCACTGGTTACCACGGACAGATGCTCTAAACTGACTTCTTGTTGTAGCTAGTTCAGCCTGTTTATGGACCGCCTGCAGCCTGAGCCAGGGCTGTGCCTGGGGCGAGGACAGGCCTGAGGGTGCAGAGTCCTGGATAACCTCCAGTCTGTGACTTGGCTCAGTTACCAGCAACAAGAATGGATCTACACACAGCTGGCCTGTCCAGCTCCTGCCTTGTGGGCCTGGGTAGATGCAGTTGTGACCACCACATCCCCCAAGGCTGCTGCTGGGCACCTGAAGTCAGGGATGGACTGGATTCCTAGGCCTGGATTCCTAGATTGGTCACCTCTCTTGTTTCGCCTGGGGGAGGGCCTGGGGGAGGTCGGGTGCTTTGCAATTCGTGAAAGCTGGGATAATTAAAATAATACAAGATGCAGGAGAGAGAAAAGCTAAAGGCCTGTTTGTCCTGTGCATGGGGCCTTGCTCCCTGGAACGCTGCTCGGGACAGGACAGGGCTGCCTTCTTCTTGGGAGGTGGGCCCTCCTGTGAGCCCAGGGTGAGTGTCTTGTCTCCTTTTGTGGCCAGCCCCAGGGAGCCTGGCTAGTTGCTGATGCTTTCTCTGCTGGGGCTTTCAGCCCCAAGGTGACCTTCCTCTCCCAGAGAAAGAGCCTGAGGCCTGGAGAAGGTGATCCCTGGCCCTAGGAGCTTAGGCAGCTTTTTAGAGGCAGTGCTGCTGCCCCTGCTGTACAGGTGAGAACAGCCTGGAGTGCAGGGGTGGCCAAGGCCCTTGCAGGCGCAGGCAGCCCAGACTGGCCCAGAGCCCCGGCCGGACACATGCCAGCAGATTCCTAGTCACACACGAGGCTCAGACAGGCAAATGGGCCTGCTGAGGTCCTGAAACAAGGGTCCTATCTTTCAGACGCCTGCCCCCCCCTTTTCCTGTGTGGGAATCTGTGGCTTCTTTTCTCTGGTAGGGGACCCCGAGGCCATGACCACAGCCGGCCTTCTCAGGGCCACTCTCCTGCTCTCCCCACCTCATTTAGGCGGTCTCCCCTGTCCTTGCCACAGTCCTGCTCCCTCTCATGTTCTGGCTCCTCTGCTCTCCTGACCCCTCTTGACCACCCTGCCCGAAGCTCCCCCACCTGCTCTCAGACAGCCCCTCCTCCTGGGTCCTAAGTCCGGTATGACTGGGGACAGGGCTGGGGATGGAGGACGAGGACAGCTCTAGGTGGTTGTCGACAGTGAGAGAATTCCACTCAGCTGTCACTGCCTGGTGTCGTGTGCTCGGTCACTTCCCTGGTGGTCAGCTCCCTGTGGCCTCTGCTGCTGGGCTGCTCTTGGGACAGCCTCTGGCTCCCATGTGTGCAGATGTGCTGGGGAAGGTGTCAAATCTGCGCCTCTTTGCTTTTGTTCTTTTTGGGGATCCTCGGTGGCAGGTCTCTGGGGCAGGTGCATCTCCCCATGGAGCTGCTGAGACTTCTGGGCTTTTCTGAGCCATGTGCCATTTTGCTTTGTTTTTAGAAAACTATGATGACTTGTATCATTGGTCAGTGGAGTCCTACTCAGACTTCTGGGCGGAGTTCTGGAAATTCAGTGGGATTGTCTTCTCACGCATGTATGACGAGGTAAGTGGACACTATTTCTGTGTTATATATATATGTGTGTGTGTGTGTGTGTGTGTGTGTTGTGTGTATTTAGGCTACGTTCCCAAAGGAAATATTTTCTTTTGGGAGTTACTGAGTTGTATCTCCTTTTAAAACCTACAATAGCGGGGATAAGCCATTGCCTTAGAGTGAAAATTAGATTTGTTGGGAGACCCTGTGGC